ACAAGGATATTGCCTTAGAGGTTTCAGTGTGAATTTTAACGAGGATTATAAGAATCATGGAATAGTTTCTGTTTTTCTCCCTTTCTTTCCTTTCCCCCATCTTTCATTATTCCATTGTCCCTTCCTGTTGGCATTTATAAGCATTAGCATGTATTTGGAACTGTGTTAAATGCTAGGGATCCAGAAATGAAAGTATACAGTCTTTGTTCTCAAGGGACTAAGTCTAGTTGATGAGAAAGAAGAATAAAAAAAAACTAATTACGGTATTGGTTGTGGAGTGGTCAGGAAAGTCTTCCTGAAGGAAGGTGATGGCAGAGCCGCAAAGATGAATGAGAGATGACAAGGAGATGAAATTAATCTTATTTGGAATATTAATGGTTTTTTGGCTATGACACCTTTCTTTATACCAAAAAAAAAAAAAAAAAAAAAAAAAAAGGCAGAATAGGAAACCCCAGGGCTCCATCCCTCCATCAGTGAGCTGGCAAAAACTGTCAGAATCAACTTTTACAGAACTCTCGAGTCTAATTGAAAATTTACAACAACCAGGGCAAAGCTTAATAAAAGAAGCAGGTGCATTGCAGCAAGAGAGTTTTCTGATGTTTTATTTTTTTAAATTTTGTTTTCTGATGTTTTAAATGATCTACTTACCCTGCTCCACATACCAGATTGGAGGTGGCCATGAAGATAGCAGGCAGAGTACCTAGTGCAGCTTGCCAAGTACCTGTGGGACCAATACAGACCTTATTCTCAAAGAACTGTGGTTGTGTATTTCCATCTGTCTGCTGGCTCCCTGAAGGACTGGTGTACAAGGGTTTGCCTTTGTTTTGCCCAACACAGAGTGTTTCCAGGTCTAGGATAGCTTTCCAGATGGCATTTGCCAAAAAGCACTTAAAAGAATTGGCTGCTATGCCTGGGGAAAGGGCTAAGAGTCAGGACAAACAAGAGACGGATCAAAAAGGCTGGGAAGAGCGTGGGAAAGGAGGCGTGTGAGGGAAATGAGCGCTTTTTTTTTTTTTTAAGATTTTATTTATTTATTTATTTGAGGCGGGACGGAGGAGGAGCAGAGAGGGACAAACAGACTCCACGCTGAGCACAGAGCCCGATGCAGAACTCCATCTCACGACCCTGAGATCATGACCTGAGCCAAAATCAAGAGTCCAGTGCTTAACCAACTGAGCTACCCAGGCATCCTGGAAATGAGGGCTTTTAAGAGCATGTGCCCAAGACTGGATGCATGCTCAGAAAAGGCCTAATCCTCGGAGACGATCCCAAACTTTCACCTCCTGCTGACCTTCAGGTTCTGCACAAGCAGGAAGTAAAGGTGAAAGCAGTGTTGTAAACAGCCGGGCTAAGCACTGAAGCAGTGTCCCAACACAGAGGCAAATTTCCAAGAGTGGGGAGCTTTCAAGCTTCTGAAAAAAATATTTGGGGGCTTCAGGTGTTTATAGATACTCTGTCAATACACTAGCTGACCACTGAGCTAATGGAACACAAACTTCAGTGGCCATATATGATAAAAAATTAGAAACTTCACAAAAATCATTTAGAAAAGTAACTAAAGCAACAACTTAAACAAGCAGCAACAACAAACACAACAAACAAAAACTGAGTTAATTTTTGTATATGGGCTGAGGTAATAGTCTACCTTCATTCTTTTACATGTGGATATCCAGTTATATCAGAACAGTTTGTTGGAAACTATTGCCTCCCCATTGAATGGCTTTGGCACCTTGTGAAAAATCGATTGCATAGATGCATGGGTTTATTTCTGGACTCTCAATTCTATTGCATTGATCTGCTTGTCTTTATGCTAGTACCACTCTGTTTTGATCCTCTAACCTTGTGTAGTAAGTTTTGAAATCAGGAAGTGTGAATTCTCCAACTTTATTTTTCTTTTTAAAGATTATCTTGGCTATTATTAGAGTCCCTTCCCCATGTTATTTTGAGATCAGCTTTTACATTTCTGCAAAAAGAAAAAGGCCACTTTTTTATTAAGGATTTTATTTATTTATTTGACTGAGAAAACAAACGGTGGGAGGGGGGCTGCAGGCAGAGGGAGAGGGAGAAGCAGACTTCCCACTGAGCAGGGAGCCCGATGTGGGACTCAATCTCAGGACCCTGAGATCATGACCTGACCTGAAAGCAGACTCTTAACCGACTGAGCCACCCAGGTGCCCTACTACTGGGGTTTTAATGGGGATTTCATAGAATCTGTGGATCACTTTGGAGAGTGTTGCCATCTTAATAATATCTTCCAATTCATGAGTACAAGATGTCTTTCTACTTATTAGGTTTCTTTTAACTACTTTCAACAATGTTTTGTAATTTTCAGTGTGTAAGTCTTGTACCTGGTTTGTTAAATGTATTTCTTTTTTTTTAATTTAATTTTATTATGTTATGTTAATCACCATACATTACATCATTAGTTTTTGATGTCGTGTTCCATGATTCATTGTTTGCATATAACACCCAGTGCTCCATGCAGAACGTGCCCTCTTTAATACCCATCATCAGGCTAACCCATCCCCCCACTCCCCTTCCCTCTAGAACCCTCAGTTTGTTTCAAAGAGTCCACAGTTTCTCATCGTCTCCCCCTCCAATTTCCCCCCTTCATTTTTCCCTTCCTATTATCTTCTTCTTCTTCTTTTTTTTTAACATATAATATATTATTTGTTTCAGAGTTAAATGTATTTCTAAGTGTTTTAGTCTTTTGATGCTATTGAAAATGGACTTATTTTCTTCATTTTCTGGAAATGGGATTGCCAGTATACAGAAATACCACTAATTTTTACATGTTGATCCTGTATGCTAGTACTTTGCTGAGTTTATTAGTTTTAGTAACTTTCTTGTGGATTCTTTGGGAATTTTTATGTATAGGGTCATGTTCTCTATAGAGAGAGAGAGTTTTACTCATTCCTTTCCAATTTGGATGTCTTTTATTCCTTTTGTTGACTAATTGCTCTAGCTAGAAGTTCCAGGACAATGTTGAACAGCAGTGATGAAAGTGGCATTCTTGTCTGCTCCTGATCTTAGTGGGGGACCTTTTAGTCTTTCACCCTTAAGTATAATGTTAGCTGTTGGGTTTTCATAAATGCCTGTTTCAGGTTGAGGAAGTTTCTTTCTGTTTTGCTTTTTGAGATATTTTTCTAATGAAAGTGTGTTGCACTTTTTTGGATTTTTTTTTTTTTTTTTTGTATCTGTTAGATGATCACATGGGTTTTTCCCTTCATCCTAGTATTGTGGTATATTATATTGATTGATTTTCATTTATTGAGCCACTTCTGTTTTCCTGAGAAAAATCCCATCTGGGGGATTGAACTTTTTTAAACATTATATGATCTATCCTTTTTTATATTTTAACAATTTTGATCTTAAATCTTTGTCTGAAATTTGGAGAGCAACTCTAGCTCTTAGTTGGTTACTGTTGGCATGGAATAGCCTTTTCCATCTTTTTACTTTCAACCAGTGTGCATCTTTGAATTTAAAATGAATCTCTTAGGGACAACATATATTTGGATCATGCTTTTTAAAAAAATTTTCTATTCTGTCCATTTCTGCCTGTTAATTGTAATCTTTTTACATTTAATATAATTACTGATAAGGAAGGACTTTGGCATTTTGCCATTTGTTTTCTAAAATGTCTTATATCGGGGGTGGCTGGGTGGCTCATTCAGTTAAGGGTCTGACTCTTGATTTCGGCTGAAGTCATGATCTCAGGTTCAGGAGATCGAGCTCCATGGCTGACTCTGTGCTCAGCGGGGAGTCTGCTTGAGATTCTCTCTCTCCCTCTCCTGCTGCCCCCCCCACTCATTCTCTCTCTCAAATAAATAAATAAATTTTAAAGAAAAAAATGTCTTCTATCTCCCTCTACCCCAATTCCTCCACTACTGCCTTCTTTTATGTTTCATTGATTCCTTTTTTTGTAACAATTTTTATTTCCTTCTCAGCATATTTTTTAGTTATTGTCTTAGTGTTTGTTCTGGGGGTTACAATTAACATGTTAATGTATAACAGTATATTTTAGATTAATACAAACTTAATTTCAAATGGTATACAAAATCTTTCATTCTATACAGTTTACACTGTTATTGCCACAAATCACATCTTTATACATTGCATACCCATGAAGACAGACTTGTATTATTTTATGTAGTCATCCTTTAAATCATATATTGAAAAAAGAGGAATTGCAAAATGCATGAACACTATTTTTTGTATTCGTCTATGTAGTTACCTTTAGCGTGTGCTTTATTTCTTCGTGTAGATTCCAGTTATTATTTAGTGAAGCTTAAAGCACTTCTTCAGCATTTCTTATAGGGAAAACCCAAATTATGAGAGGAACATTTACTCTAAAAGAAGAAGAGAGACACCCTCTGAGAATAGCTGATCAAGTAAACATGAGAGTGAATTTGTAAGGAGAGTTCAGGGCATTCATGGCGCAATCACTGAATTTTCTTGAGGACAGGGACTCCAAGTTCATTTGTTCGGGATGACAAGGGAAGTGTATAGACAGTATGATTGTACTGAAGGACTGAAGTAGTACCTAAGAGTTATGGGAGACGGAACTGAGATAAGAGCAGAACTGTACTCACCTATGCAACCCTACCACCCGACTAGGTATTGGGTGGGTATTGATTGTCCTTCTGAAGTTCTTAGAAACAAATTCTTCCATAGGCTCACTGCAGTACCCAGTGCAGCCATCCAGCCTATTCGCCCTGTAGGGGGCACTCTGTAGAGGGAGGCGGATCCCAGCAGGCCTTGCGGGGTGACTCAGAGGTCGTCTCTGTGACGTGTAACACCCTCGCCTGGTAGGGGTTGGTGTGGTGAGGGAATCTGCTTTACTCCTTGTGAGGAAAGCAAGGTAGAGAGGAAAGAGGCCGAGGACCGGACTGGAAAGGGACTTTAGTAGGACTGAGTGGGGAGGTGAGCGGTGGACTTTACTGGCGGCAGCAGGGGCGGCATCGCCTGTGAGGTGGACGGTTAACTAGGCCGCAGCAGCCATGGCAGTTGACTTCGGGGACCACGCCAGCGGGTTCCGCCACACGGAGGTGATCAGGTTCATCAACAACGAAGTGCTCATGAACGGCGGCGGTCCCGACTTCTACGTGACCTTCCGCTCACGGCCCTGGAATGAGGTGGAGGACCAGCTTCGGACCGTCGTGGCCGACCCTCAGGTACCGCGCACCACTAAGAGAGCCTGCGCCTGGAGCGCGCTGGCCTTGAGTGTGCGCGTGGCCGCGAGGCAGCGGGAGCAGCAGGCGCACCGCGTGCGGCGGCTGCAGGAGCAGGTGGAGGAGCGCGAGATGGCTACCTGGGCCCTGGCCTCTGAGCTGCAGCGGCTGCGTGGGGATCGAGAGGACGTGGCCACGCAGTTGCGCTTCACGCAGGTCGCCCTGCAGCAGGCGCTGCTCGAGTGTGATGTGCTTCGTGGGCGGCTGCTCCACGTGGATAGGTCGGCCCAGGTCATCCCGCTGGCCCGTGAAATACTGCCTGCGCCTCGAGCCGAGCAGCATGGGGCTATAGCCGGGCCCCTGAATGCCGAGCAGCAGAGAGATGTGGTTGCCATGGGGTTTCCTGGTAGGCTGTATTTTGAGGCCCAGGTGCCAGCCCCAGCAGCTGTTCTTCACATGCCAGGACCCCCAGGTCCCAGGGCTCAGGCCATACAACCCCCTCTGCCAATGCCGGTGCCATACTCACTTCCATTGCAAGCACCACTCCCAGTGGGAATCCCTTTCTTGCCACCTCTGCCACCACCAGTAGTCATGGATGCAGAAGCTGCAGTAGTCCCGCTTCAGATGCTTCCTCTGGGGACCTACCCACCTGGTCCATGTGCTGCAGTGGGCTTCCGGGAGGAGGTGGCCCCACCATGGGACCAAAGGAATTACAGCCAGGAGGGAGGTCCTGGGATCTTCCGGAGTACAGTCCCCCTGGGGAATATCAGAAACCCTAGCCAGGAAGGTCTAGAGAGGCCTCGGGGGATGGTCCCCCTTGAGGATAGCTGGAGCCACAGCCAAGAAGAAGGTCCAGAGAGGGCCCAGGGGATGGGTCCTCTTGGGGACAGCTGGAGCCTCAGCCAGGGAGCAGATCAAGGGACACCCCAGGGGGCGGTATCCCTTGGGGATAGTTGGAGCCAGATCCAGAAAGAAGGTCCAGAGAAGGCCCAGGGGATGGTCCCCTCTGGGGATAGCTGGGGCCAGAGTCAGGAAGAAGGTTTAGAGAGGCCCCAGGGGATGGTCCCCCTTGGGGAGAGCTGGAGCCTCAGCCAGGAAGATTCACAGAGATTCCAGGAGGTGGTTACCCTTGGTGCCAGTCAGGAAGAAGATCCAGAGACTCCCCAGGAGGTGGTACCCCTGAGGGCCAGTGAGAGCCACAGCCAGGAAGAATTTCCAAAAAGACCCCAAGGGGTGGCCCCCCTTGGTGCCAGCAGGAGCAACAACCAGGAAGAAGATGTAGAGAGGCCCCAGGACGTGGTTCCCCTGGGGGTCAGTGGGAGCCACAGCCAGGAAGAAAATCCAAAAAGACCCCAAGGGATGGCGCCCCTTGGTGCCAGTAGGAGCAATAGCCAGGAAGAAGATAAAGAGGGGCCCCAGGAGGTGGTACCCCTGGGGGCCAGTGGGAGCCACAGCAAGGAAGAAGGTCCAAAAACACCCCAAAGGATGGCCCCCCTTGGTGCCTGTAAGAGCTACAGCCAGGAAGAAGATCCAGAGGGGGCCCAGGAGATGGTATCCCTGGGGGCCAGTGGGAACCACGACAAGGAAGAAGGTCCAGAAAGACCCCAAGGGACGGCCCCCCTTGGTGCCTGTAAGAGCTACAGCCAGGAAGAAGATCCAGAGGGGGCCCAGGAGATGGTATCCCTGGGGGCCAGTGGGAACCACGACAAGGAAGAAGGTCCAGAAAGACCCCAAGGGATGGCCCCCCTTGGTGCCTGTAAGAGCTACAGCCAGGAAGAAGATCCAGAGGGGGCCCAGGAGATGGTATCCCTGGGGGCCAGTGGGAACCATGACAAGGAAGAAGGTCCAGAAAGACCCCAAGGGATGGCCCCTCTGGGGGATAACAGTAGCCAAAGCCAGGAAGAAGATCTGGAGAGGCCCCAGGGGACTGGTCCCCTGGGGGACAGCAGAAGCGACAGCCAGGAAGAAGGTCCACAGAGGCCCCAAGGGATGCTCTCCCTGGAGTTTCTCAGGAGTCACAGCCAGGAAGAAGGTCCACAGAGGCCCCAAAGGATGCTCTCCCTGGGGTTTAGCAGGAGTCACAGCCAGGAAGAAGGTCCACAGAGGCCCCAAAGGATGCTCTCCCTGGAGTTTAGCAGGAGTCACAGCCAGGAAGAAGGTCCACGGAGGCCCCAGGCAACCCCCCCGGGGGATGGCTGGAGCCAAAGTATGAGGGAAAACCCAAAGATACAGCAGCCTCCGGGGCAGAAGACCAAGCAACCAAAAGGGAAAAAAGCTTTGGATTCCAAGCACCAGGAGAAATCTGTCTCAAGATGCAGTCCAGTGAATTGGGACTGCCCATGGTGTAAAGCCATGAATTTTTCATGGCGCAAGGCCTGTTATAAATGCAAGAAAGTCTGTGTGGCAGGTGAGAGTAGAGGCCGGGACCCAGGACAAATTTACTGACTTCAAGAAGGTAAGTAAGAATGAAAACACTCCAAAGGAAAACCAATTTCCCAAGACCCTCTTCTGATCAAAAAGTAACTTATTTACTTCACAGAAAATGTGAAAACCAAAATTATTGTAGAGAAAGTTAAATAAAACAGTCCATTATTCCATTACCGAAACTAACAACTTTTTATCATTGTGGGTACTACATACGTAAATACACACTCCTTTCTGGTTTCTTATTAACCTCCTTTTCCTGAATATGCCATGTCTTTGGGAACAGCCATGTGGTTTTTGAGCTATAACTATATTGAATTTTAGGAGCACCGCTCTTCCTTCAAAATGCTATTGTTCCTTTGTAAACTACAGTGTTCATGTTTGCTTCTTGTTTTTAAGTTTTATAGGTGAGGGCCTGTTTTTGTGTCTCTGAGCCCCAAGAACTTGTTTGTTGCTGAAGAAGCTGAACCTGTCCCATTAGAAGATTTCCCAAGAGTCTAAAGAAATCACACCTTGATTCCAGCTGACCCGCACCTCATTGAGACCCCCCATTGGCTGGAACTGAGAAGAGTGAGAAGAAGTCATGGAAGAAGAGATGCTCTGGCACTCAGTAGGGGGGCAGGGAAGGCAAAACAATTTTGTTAGAATGTAATTTCTCTGTTGGGATTAATTTGGGAGAGTTGGGGGGGTGTTGCAGTATTAAATTCTATAGATGATAGCAAATTTGATGGATTACATTTAATTCACTAAACAAATAGTTATTGTCTAGTATGTATTAGGAGCTAGACTTATATGTTAATATCTGGTGCACACATTATAACTTGATTTGGTGAGTTTGGTTAGATAACAGGAGAGAGCCTAATTTGGGATGCAAAGTATATCAGGAGGATGTCTTTGCCTGGCATACAGCGTGATTTTCTGGTAAACCCAACTGAAATGACATCCAGATATATGTATATATATATTTAAAGATTTTATTTATTTATTTTTGAGAGAGAGAGCATAAGTGTGGGGAAGGGGCAGAGGGAGAAGCAGACTCTCCCCCTGAGCCGGGAACCCGATGTGGGGCTTGATCCCAGGACCCTGGGATCATGACCTGAGCCAAAGGCAGGTGCTTAACCCACAGAGCCACCCAGGCGCCCCACATCCAGATATTTTTGCAGTTCTGGGAGTAACATCAGGGACTTCCATGAAAGGACTTGAGTCACTGAATTGCTCATCTCACTGTTCACAGGTAAGACAAATGAGCAGTGGCAGAGATCAGGAAAGTGGCTTCATGAAAGTGCAGGTGGGACTTTTCTGATACTCTGTTGATTTCTTCCTTTGAGAGGGACAGCTATCTTCCTGATTGCCTGAATGACCGCTGGGTGACTTAAAGACAGTACTTGAGAGAGTGTTGGCTACACACTCGAGCCCGCAGCTTTGGACCACCACCATCCCAAGCTCCTTTCCAGTCAAGAGTGGATGAAGAACAAAATGGATTCCAAGGGTGGACATCATGCTGTGGATGGTGCTTCTCCAATAAGATTAAAAAAGAACTGGACTGAGAGAAGCCCTTTTGGGAATGCCCTGGGCCCCTTCTCTCCCATTTGGTGTGTTCTTTGCAGGCTCTCTGCTCCCCCGAGGCAGGTGGAGCCCAGGGGGTGGGAAGTTAGATGGTCTCCAGTCTGAACGAAAGGTGTCCTCGAGTTCCCCCATGAAATCCCAGCTCACCAAGCTCAGCCTCTGTCAGAGGTTTCCTGAGTCTAATAATAAAGAGTGTGCACTTGCCTGCTGTGTCTTCTGTGTGGTGTGCATCTCGGGGCAGGTTTGCTCCAGGGCGGCAGTTTAAACCCACATCTTCCCACCATCCCACTGAGGTGAAGGAAAGTTCGAGCACATTCACCATTAGAGGGCCTCTCCTCTTCCAGCAAGTTACCCAAGATTGGGAGGGGGAGGAGCTTCTGTGGGGCCTTCAATCCATTGTGAACGTCCCTGCTCCCCTCACTGTCCGAGTCCACATGGTCCTTTGAAGGTGGGCATCTCCGCTGCTCTTGGGCCCGTGGGGCACGGGAGGGGAGGTGGGGACGGGGCTTCTGTTTAGGCTGGGAACCCGGATGCCTGGTGTCCAGCTTCCCTATGTGCACCAAGAAGCCATTTCCCTGAGGCCCTGTCTCCTAGGGGTCCAGTGAGCAGGAATTTCCCTCCTATATTTCTGCCTTGCAAGGCGCTGTCCCCTCCTATGCACAATCCCATCAAGGGGCTCAGGATTCTGGAAAATAGCCAGGTTTAGATGGCCTGTTAATAAGACAAATGTTCCCCGAGGCAAACGGGGGTGGAACCTGGCTGCCTGCTTGTTGTAAGGACAGGGGATGGGGCAGAGAACTGACCTTACCCCACCGGCTTTCTCTCTCTCCTCACTCCTGGTAACCGGGAGGCCTTGTTTACTAGTGGGGAGCGCTGGGGAGGAAGAGGACCATCAAGGGACATCAACCTAAAGCTAGGTTTTCTGGGCTAGGGGCTGGTTTTGTGATATTCCTGTGTGTGCCGATAGCTCCCTGGAATTTTGGGAAGTTGATACACAGATGGGACTTGGGCATTTTCCAACATAATCCACCTTGATGTACTAGCAGGTCACTAGATCTCACTACGGTTGCTTTATTTATGGTTTCAAATGGGCTCTGCTGTTTGTTGGCATGCCTCTAGGTCTGCATGAAAGCAGACTCACCCTGTGCATAGCTTTTATATAGTTTATTATTATTATCACAGTCTTTCCGGGTTGACAATTTCCAAAACAACCTGAATCATTAAGGTTGTCAAATCACTACCTTTTTTCTGGGCCGGGTACACACAAGAAATGGTAGCGGTTTCTGAGACAAGAACCTGGGCTTTGGAATTAGAGAGACATGAGTTTGGATACTTGTGCTGTTATTCACTAGCTGCGTGACCTTCAACAAGTTGCTGAACTTCTCTGAGCCCCCAACAAATGGGTTGTTCCTTTCCCTACCCTCAGGATTCTGCTCTTGGTGCTGTGGTGATGAGTACAAGGCATTGTTAATGATGGCAAGAGATACCATTGAGTGCTTACTGTGTGCCAGGTGCTCTAAGCACATTACCCTTTTTGGTGACTGTAAGGTATGAATAGGTACCCATGTTAGTAGTTCTTCAAAGTGAATATGATTACCCCCGTTTTACAAATAGGGTAACTCAATACCCAAAGTTGGGAATTGGTGAAGCCTGGCTTCAAAATGAAATTGTACAGGCTCCAGTGCCTCTGCTCTTTCCATTATATTACTGTACCTTAAACTTTTACCCTTACTGAGTAATACATTTGCATGTCACATGGGTCATCAATGCCTAAATCCAGCGACAGGATTGTAATGGAGAGACTTGGAGGCATAGTAACAGTCCGGTGGTCATTGTCATGCTGCTCTTTAAGAATTTCTCAAGCTTTGTGACAAGTGCCCAGCTTGGCTGCCAGCGAGCAGGACCACTTACTATCTCTAGACTGCAGAACCAAGAGGGTGCTGGTGGTAATTTAGGCAGTGGAAGCGATTTGTATTCGATTCAGCAGACTGGCCTTATGAAAAGTTTATATATAGCCGAGTTCAATACTGTTAAGATAGAGCCCATCTTGACTGCTTCTCGGAAGTCTGTCTGAATAACTCAGCGTCGGTTTTAGGTGGATAAGGTACCAGCTATAACAGCCTAATATACATGCATGTATACTTTTCAGCGAGGAAGGAGGTGGGAAAGGAGACTTCAAAAGCTTCACATTTGTGTTGCAAAATGGGGAATAGAATTAATGTTTTCTAAATCATGGTACTAAATCTATGACAGAGTGGCAAAGAAATACATAATTTCCTTATCGTGTGCTTTGTAAAGTCTCAACACCAAACGATAGCAGATTCTTATTATGTGGTGCAGGCACTGTGCGTAATGCCCGTGAGTGTTTCTCTCACTTCTAGCTCATGATGGAGTGATTGCATCCACTGGAACTAAGCCTCACATGAACTTAAGGATCCTGAAACAATCCTGGCCTGTGACCTTATGAGGTTGCAGTTGAACAGAATTTTCTCATTGACAGTGCTTGTTCTTTGGCACTTAAGACAAGTGTTCAAGACCACGATGGAACAGGCATAGGAAGCACTGCCGCACTGAGTATCTGTACCCCCAAGGGACCTAGTACAGTTCCTTGAGTACAACTTCCTATTTGGTTCATGCCAGAAGCACTCTATTCAATGAGCCTAGGAATCCCTCCAGTAGGTCAGATCCTGCACATCTAGCCCAGCTTCTCTGGGGCATAAAGCAATTGTAAAAAAGGATCATATACTCTTCCTTGTGTCAATTTTAGAGGGAAGAATGCCAGTAGGAATCCCTAGCTTTTTAATACTTTATAGATCAAGCAAAGAACATGCATATAGAGAAGGCTTTGGATGTGCCGCGCACTGTGTTAGACAACGTGGAAGTCATTACTATTGTCCTCTATAATCTCCTGTTCTGTTAGAAGAAATACGACAAATATACACCAAACAGTAGTCATCAGCCTTTTCATCAATTATTCAATCATATTTTCTGGCCTGGAGATGTCAGTTTTCAAAAAGTTCCTGTATATCAAACAGTATTATATAATATGTGATTATTTTCTCATTTAAAATTAAGAAAGCATGTATATCTCTAAGGTTCCCTCACACAAACTTGATGTACTTCCACCTAAAAGCAGTAATTTGTCATTTAAGTTTAGGATTTTGTGGGGATTTAGTGACTATTATTATCACTATTATTATTACATGCAGCCTAATCACAGGCAAATGGACCATTTTACTAGGCTCTTTGTAATAGCGACAATACCTTAGAATCCATCATTACCACCTTCTTCAACTTCTCTGAACTTTGAGGACGCAAATTAGGAACAATTTCTGTAGAAAGCTAGTAGTTTTAATACATATTAAATACCAGTAAGTGTTGGGGCGCCTGGGTGGCTCAGTCGTTAAGCGTCTGCCTTCAGCTCAGGTCCTGGTCCCAGGGTCCTGGGATCGAGCCCCGCATCGGGCTCTCTGCTCCGCAGGAGGCATGCTTCTCCCTCTCCCACTCCCCCCTGCTTGTGTTCCCTCTCTCGCTGCGTCTCTCTGTCAAATAAATAAAAAAATCTTAAAAAAAAAAAAAAAAGGAAATGTCTTTAAAAAAAAAAAATACCAGTAAGTGTTAAAGGATTAAAAAAAATACACGTTGAGTATGTATTTGGGGTTGCAAAGCTTCCATGATAGCCAGATGGTTTCAAATTGTGCCCCAGTCAACAGAAAAAGTTGTTGAGAAAGTTAACTTTGTTTTACTTTGAAATAATATGCAGTATTACAGCTTCACTTGTGATATTCTCCAGCTCTTTGCTTTCTTCATTCTACACTACCTTACAAAAATAATGGTGCACAAGGCAAAAAAACCTGTGATTACTTTTGTGGTAGGCAGCATTTAACCTTACCCCAGTGTTTATAAAGTGATGACAAAGAGCTCTCTGAGGGTTTTGTCTGTAAGTAAAAGTTTTAGGATATTTAATCTCATTTCTTTTTTGCTTGATATATATTTACTTTGATAATTTCAGTGACCATATTGGCTTCAGGAAAGAAAAAGACTGAGCAAGGATTGAAAATTTCATACCTTTACCACTACAATTCCTGATATTGTCTAGACAGT